GCGGGCAGGGGAGCTTACGTCAGCCTCAGCAAAGTGGTGACACAAGGCACACCATTCTCGAATCTGGCATTCTGAGCCTTGGCCTGTGTGTGGCTGTCCAAATATCTTCATTTCTCTGAGGTCTGGAACTGGGTTCCACGGCCCAGGGTTTGTCTGTGGAGAGAGGGGGATGGCTTTGCTGTTCCTCCCCTTCCACTCGCTCTCCGACCGCTGCGTCCTTTGGGCTGAACTAAGTTCCTGGTCCCTATTCCTCAGCACTAGGGGATGGCTGGCTGGTGGTCACATCCCAACAGGTTTCCTGGTATCAGACCCCGCCTCTGTTGCACCACAGCTGTGTGGCTTAGCAAAGACCTTGAGAGAGAGAGAGAGAGAGAGAGAGAGAGAGAGAGAGAGAGAGAGAGAGAGAGATTGATGGCCCAAGTCCTTGGGCCCCTGCACCCGTATGGGAGATGCAAAGGGAGCTCCTGATTCCTGGCTTTAGGTCAGCTCAGCTCCGGCTGTTGGGGCCATTTGGGGAGTGAAGCAGTGGATGGAAGATCTCTCATTCTTCCTCTCTCTGTGACTCTACCTCTCAAATAAATAAAATTAAAAAACAAACAAACAAAACAAAAAATGAGCTTGAGAGCCGATTTCCGGCAGAGGTTATCCGTGATGGGAGTTAGAAGCAGCACTGCTAACCGGCGGTAGGAAGCCCTCCCGCCCGGCCTAGGAGTGGAGCGGGGCTGGCTGCTCCATGATTCCATTCATCCACGCACTTCAGCTGCCTGTCTTTAATCTTCTGTATTTCAGTCAGCAGCCGCAGCTCTTGGTTTGGGGTACACAATGGTGGTGTCACCCCCAGGAGTCTTAGAAGGTTCTCTGATCTTCTGAGGCTGTGCCCTCAAGTTCAAGGTTCCTGCAGTACAGCTGAGTACAGTGTTCTCTGGTATGAGCGAGGTGCGGGGTCCCGAGGAGGGGGAGGCTGCCCAGAATGTACCCCTTTGTGAGTGGTGTGGGTGGGGCCCTGCTTTCAAGTCTGTGCTCGGAGACAGCTCAAGGGGGCCCCTGCCTGGCCTGAAGTCCCAGCATCTTCTGAAAGTACACAGAGGCAGGGAGTCTGCCCCGTCTCCCCCTGACTCACAGTACAGAGAGGGGCCAGGGTGGGCGTCTCCCCCTGACTCACAGTACAGAGAGGGGCCAGGGTGGGCAGGAGAGACTCCCTGCCACCTGGAAGAGAGACTCCTGGCTTCTGCCTGGCTCAGCCCTGGCTATTGTGGCCATTTGGAGAGTGAACCAGTGGATGGAAACATCTCTGTGTCCCCCTGTCCCTGTGTAACTCTGTCTTTCACATAGGTGGGTAGATCTTTAAAAAAAAAAAAGTGACTCCACAGTTTTGTCATTTAAAAAGATAATTCATTCTAATTGTAAGAGGCGCTGTAATACCTGGATTTAAAAAAAGCCACAGCTGCCTCCCACCTTGTTCTGGGCTCTCTCTTTGTTCTTACTAAGTGGCCCCATTTTGCATTTGAGGGGTGCAGAGCCCTTTCAGGGGTGAAGTGGCCCAAAGAAAGGGTGGGGGCAGGGCAGGGACTCCATGAGAAACTTGGACACAAAGAGCTGGGTGCAGGGACCTCGTGCAGGCATCCAAACTCTGGTATTGCCTGGACTCAAATCCCGGCTCTGCCACTTACCACCAGCTGCCTCGGTTTCCCTATCTGTAAAAGGACACTGAGAGCACCGACCCATAGAGTTCTGGGGTTAAATGAGTTCATATTTGCAAAGTGCTTAAAGTAGAGCCTGGTCAGTATCCTACATGTGTCTAAGATACTAATCAAGTGGTTGGCGAACAGTAATGGGGAGCCTGCGTCCCAGTGGGAGTGTCTGGGTTCCTGGCTCTGGCTCCTGATTCCAGCTTCCTGCTGAACTGCCCCATAGGAGGCAGCAGGCAGCGGTGATGGGAGAGACCCAGATGGGAATCCTGGCTTCTGAATTGGGCCTGGCCCAGCCCCTGCCCCTGCCCTTGAGGGCATGGCGGGGGGTGGGGGGTGAACCAGCAAACGGAATGTATTCAGGAAGTGTCCACTAACACCCCTTGCCCGGTCCCCGCGGCCTGGCCCTCTGGTGTCACCACTGTGCTCTTGCTGTAATTTTGGCCGCAGGGAAAGCTAATGGGTCTTAATGAGCACCTGGACATTCCGGTTGGGGCTCCTGGCACTGTCACTTCTGAAAGGGTGGGGCTGGGCCGCCGTCCCTGGGCACAGGACACACTAAGCAGGTGAGTGGCCACCACCCCTGGCAAGCTGTGTCATGCTCCTCTCAACCCCCACCCCTCCTGGACTGGGCTGCCAGGCAAAGGAATTCAGGGCAGCTCTGGTGCCCCCACAATGCCTGCTGGAGGGTTGTTTGACAAGTATCTTGTTTTGCTCCTTAGAAAGGGGGTTCCTGTTTTGGAGGAAGGGTGAGGTCTAACCCTCTTTTAAATTTTAAGATGTATTTATTCATTTGAAAGGCAGAGTTACAGAGAGGGGAGGGGGAGAGGGGGAGTGGGGAGGGAGGGAGGGAGGGAGAGGGGGCAGCTGCCTGCCTTGAGATTTTCTGGTTCATCTGTTCACTTAGCAAGTCCTGCCTTCTTACCTACTTACATGCTGAGACCACCTTCCTCCTCTTCCTCCTCCTCCCCATCCCCCTCCTCCCCTTCCCCTCCTGGCGCGTTGCTCTTGAGCTCACAGTGTGTTGGCACCCACAGGGCTTGGCTAGCGGTGGTCACTTCAGCTCACTGCAGTCACCTTCAGGTCACTACAGAAAAACAGCAGAAGCCCAGAGAGGGTAGGCAGTTTGCCTAAGGCTGCCCCGCAGGAACACGGCTGGGAGGGGTTTGTGATCCAGCCCCAGGCTGCACCCAGTCCATTTTTCTTGTCTCCAACATCTCTGAGTTGATTACAGCTGCCGCCAGCTCACCTCCCCTGACCCTCTCAAGTTTGGGAAGTGAGTTGCGAGGCCAGCCCCCAGGGGTGAGGACAGGGCTGTACCCAGCTGCTTCACTTCTGGTTTGTCGGTCAGGGGGCGCGGCTGATCTCCTCCCTCCGCCATCCTTGGGACGCCATCCTTGGGACTCACGTTTGGAGGCATAACCCTCCCTTAACCAGCAGGGGCCTTCACAGATCTTGGGCTGGGTCTCAGGGCCTCATCAGCCCAAGACAGAAGAGCAGGAAAGCAGGCGAAGGGGTCCCAGCAAGGGCGGTAAATTCCAGGTTGCGTGGCTCAGTCCTGAGCTCCCGGGGACCAGGGCCACCGCCTGGTATCTGCGCAGGGAAGGCAGCTTTCAGGGTGCTACAGCTCCCTCCACCCCATTACTGCTGCTTCTCAGAGGTCCTCGCCCTAGGTCTAAGAGGGTTACCTTGGGGAGACAGCCTGGCTTCCCTCAAGGGCTGGCTCTGAGCTCTGCCATTTACTAGTTACCCCATGTCAGGCCAGTTTCTTAACCCCTCTGAGACTCAGTCTCATTTTCGAAATGGACATCAATCCTGACATCTACCCTCTCACCCCCAAAGTGGTCTGAATTTCCCAGGGCAAGTGCAGAGCTCAGCACCAGAAAATGTGTGCAAGGTTGACCCCTGGTGGCAGAAATGAAAACAGCAGCCCAGGAGGCCCCCCCCCCCCCGGGTGGGGTGGGGGGCTTCAGGGTGCCCTGGAAGAAACTTGTCCTGGTGAAGACATAGGCACAGTGGGCCCGAATAGAGGGATTCTCATGGAAGAACACTCGGAGTGGGTGGGCAACTGGCATAGAGGTTATGCTGCCACGTGGGACGCGCACAGTCCTTTATCAGTCCCAGTGCCAGTTCCCACTCCAGTTCCCTGCTATTGTGCACCCTGGAAGACAGAAGAAGGTGGCTCCAACAAATTGGGTCCCTGCCACTCCCATGGGAGACCCAGACTGAGTTCTCGGCCTCTGTTGTTATAGGCATTTGGGGAGCAGGCCAGCAGATGGGAGACCTCTGCCTGCCTACCTTTCAAGGCTGGGGGCTGGGAATTTAATCCGGCTCTCCCACATGCATGGCAGAACTAAACCACGTGAGCCATCGCCAGTGTCTCCCAGGGCCTGCACTAGACAGCTGGAGTTGGAGCTGGTGCTGGGAACTGAACCCAGGCGTTCTGATGTGAGAGGTAGGCGTCTTAACTGTGAGGCTAAACACCACCCTGCAACCTCTGCTTAACTTAACACACTTTAATACAGTGTCTATTTGTGTCAGGTGCTACTTTATGTACCTTAAAATAACCCTAGTGGGTAATTACTGTTGTTGGCCTCATTCTCCAGATAGGTAGACTGAGGCACAAAGAGATTCAGTACCTTGCCGAAGGCCCCTGAGCTAATGAGCGGCAGAGCTGGGGGTGTTGGGCCAGATCAGCCTGTCTCCCCGAAGCCCCGCTGTCTGCTCTCTGCCGCTGTGTGTTGCAGTCTGAGCTGTCGACTTCAGCGTGCGCGGTGCACACACAGCCTCTGGCGGGCGGATTTCGTCGGTGGCTTCTCGTGAGGGAGAGCTCCCTCTGCTTGTTGTTACGGAAGAAGAGGGGTCGGCACTTGGACGAAGCGGTGGAGACACTGCTTTGGACACCTGCCTGCCACATCGCGGTGCTTGGCTTTGAGTCTTGGCAGCTTCCTGCCGACGCACAGCCTGGGGGCAGCAGGTGCTGGCCCAGGTGCTTCAGTTCCAGGCTCCTGGCTTGCGCCTGGCCCAGCCACTGCTCTCGCAGGCATCTCGGGGAATGAAGAAGATGGGGGTCTCTGTCTCTCAGTCCCTCTACTTTCAAATAAATAAACCAGTCAATAATTGTCTTAAGGTTCAGGGGAAAATAGAATGAAAAGAAGCCCATTTTTCAGAAATGAGAAAGGACCTGGTGACAGTATCCACTCCTCGACGGCTTTGCTCTGTCCCCAGGCCTCGGCTGGCCCGTGTGCTTGGGAGGGGAGCGTGGGCGCCCGGGTGGGCCGCTTTCCTATTGCTGTGGTCTCTGCTTCACAGTGTACTTCGAAGGCTGCACAGGCCGACCGAGGACGGCCTACTTCTCTGACGACTCTCGCTTCCAAGTGGGCACGGACGGCGTGATCACCGTGAAGCGGCCCCTGCAGCTGCACAGGCCGGAGACCAGTTTCCACGTCCACGCCTGGGACTCCAGCTACAGGAAGCTCTCCACCAAGGTCACGCTGAAGGCCGTGGGGCCGCACCGCAACCACCACCATCGCCATGTACGTCGGGGTGGGGGCTGGGAGGGTGGGGGTGGCCTCAGAAGTTCACGGTGCTTCCAGTCTGCTGTCCCGACCCTGAGGGCGTCTCCTGGGCACTGTGGGATGCTGAGCGGATGCCTGGGCTCAGTGGTCAGGCATCAGTAGTGCCTCCACCAGCTCCTGGCGTGGCCAACGCCTCTTGGGGCAAAAATGACTCCCAGTCCAGAACTACTGGTCTACCTGACCTAATGCTGCCTGGGTTTTTGGCACTGGGGGATTGAATGGAACCGAATGGTGGGTGAAGGCTCGGCTGCTGTGTGGCATTGAATCCCAGCCCTCTCTTTGCCTTTCCAGTGGGGAGGGCCTTGGTAGAGAGAGGGATGAACCAGTGGGAAGCTGTGGCCCACTGGGCTGTGCTTTACCTGCTGGTCCCCGCGCTACAGGTTGGGTGTCCTTCTAAAATGCTTGGGACCAGAAGTGTTTCCGTTTCAGTTTCCAGGAGATTCGCATACACAGAACGAGATAGCTTGGCAGTGAGACCCAAGTCAAGATGCAGAACTTGCGTCTCATATCAGTCTCCCAGGCGCAGCCTGGAGTCAGTGTCACATTTTTCATCATTTTGTGCTTGGACGGAATTTTCTGCTTGTGTCATGTTGGAGCTCAAGAAGGGTTCCTTTCGAAAGGAGACTTCGCCGTGCATCTGGGTGCCTGGCCCCAGGTCTGCCCCACACCCGAGGCCCCGCCAGCGTCAGCCTTCAGATACACGGTCGGCCGCGAACATCGGCCGCGTGTCCGCCTAGGTTCTTGGCGAGGATGTTTCTGGAGAGCGTTGTTGCCCGCAGCCAAGTGCGTTTGCCGGGTTCTCAGCTGCTCCCCCTGCGCTTCCTCCCATCATGTCTGGGGGAAGTTCCCGCTGGGCTCTCGGAGCAAGGAAGCCTGCACAGTCAGCTCCTGTTTCTCTCTCTGAGACTCTTGGAATTTAATTGTCCCCCTGATTGATCCAGTTTTTCCCCCTGGTGTAATTAGAAAGACCAGAACAATGAGGCTCTTGGTAGAACCATAGTAACAAAGCTCCGTGACGCAGGGCTCCTCCGATTCACCCCATCATTCAGGTGAGAACGTTCCGCCTGATGGGGTTTTTTTGTTTGCTTGTTTTTGATTTACTTCTTTATGTGAAAGGCCAAGCAGCTTAGAGAGAGAGAGAGAGATCTTCCATCTAGTAGTTCACTGCCCAGGTGGCTGTAACGGCCGAGGCTGGGCCGGGCATCTTCTGCCACCTTCACAGGTGTATTGGCAGGCAGCTGGCTCCGAGGCTGAGGACTGGGGACTCCAACTGACACTCCGACAAGGGACAAGCCGGTTAAGTGGTGGCTTAATGCACTGCACCACCCGGCCAGCCCCAATCTGTGGATTCTGGCTGGGCAGCTGTGTGTAGAAGCCTCTCACAACCACACAACAACTGAGCTTGGTTCTTTTTGTTTTTCCACCCACTTCTGCCAACTTTGCCTCTACTTCCAAGGCTGCTGTATCAGGATTGGATTCAGAGTTTATTTTATGTAAAGCCCCAACTTACAGTGCTTTATGCAAAATAACTCTTCATTCAAGTTAAGGAAGTCCAAGGATGAGTTGTGACCCCTGCTGATACAGGCTGTGCAGTCATCAACAGCCCGGGTGGCTCCTGTCTTTTTTGCTCCGCCATCTTCAGCGCATGGTTTCCATTCTCAAGGATACCACATGATCCAAGAAGGCTGCTGGAGCTCCAGTCATCACGCTTTCATTCTAGATGATAAGGAGAAAGGGAGAAAGCACAAAATGTCCTCCTCAGTTGTCTCTGCCATTTCAGAGACTTGTATGGAATTCTTAAGGAACAATTTTGCATATATCCCATCAATCAGATCTAGCACACCTAACTGTGGGAGAGAATTTGATTAATTAGCTTTTTTTTTTTTTTTTTGAGAATCCTTATTTATTTATTTGAGAGGCAAAGAGACAGAGATCTCCTGTTCACTGGTCTGCTTCCCAAATGTCTTAATAACCAAGGCTGGGCCAATCCAGAGCTGGAGCCAAGACTTCAGTGTGGGCTTCCTGTTGGGTGGCAGGGACCCAAGTAACTGAGTTAGCCCTTGCTGCCTTCCAGGGTGCGCATTAGCAGGAGGCTGGAGTCAGGCCCGGAGCTGGGGCCTGGACCTCCCTGCTCTGATACGGGACGTGGGCTAAACACCCTCCCTTATGTTGTTTTCTTTTTGATAAGAAAGGAAGCAAGAGTATTGGTGGTGGGTGGCAGGCTCTATCGTGGGTCGTTCCAGGTTTGGTTTGTAGTGCAGAGGACCCTGTGGAGTCCGCTTACACTGGACTAGATATAATGAGAAGGGATGGCAGCTTGCTTTACCATGGGAAGTTGGGGGGGGGGTTCATCTTCTCGGTCTGGGATCCGGTTTTTTGGGGGTCAATTCCATGTTCAGGGGCCAGCACTGTGGCATAGCAGGTAAAGCTGCCGCCTGCAGTGCCGGCATCCCATAGGGGCGCCAGTTCGAGTCTCGGCTGCTCCTCTTCCCATCTAGCTCCCTGCTAAGATGCCTGGGAGAGCAGGGGAAAATGGCCCAAGTCCCTGGGTCCCTGCACCTATGTGGGAGACCTGGAAGAAGCTCCTGGCTTCAGATTGGCCCAGCTACAGCTGTTGGGGTGTGAACCAGCACAGGGAAGATCAATGTCTCTCTCTTTCTCCCTCTGCCTCTGCCTCTCTGTAACTCTTACAAATAAATAAATATTTTTTAAAAATTCCATGTTCAGTGAGCGTGGGTGTGGTTCCCTTCCACGTCACACTTGAAGGGGTTCTGGCTGGGTGTGGCCTGCACAGTGCTCACTGTGCCCTGTGATCATTCCCTGATAATATTCTGCGGTCCTGAGGCCATCCTGTGATGCCTGTCTGCCGGCCCTGTCCTGCAGGCTGGCCCTGGGCTTCGGGCGGTGCCAAGAGTCACTCCCTGCACCGGGGGCACCAGTCTCAGCGCTGGGTGTGCAGTATCAGCGGCTCATTCGGTGCTTGCAAGTGCTAATAATATCCCTGCCTTAGCTGTTAGGAAGCTCTGGTGCGGAGCGGCGAGGACTCGGCCCGAGCCAGCAGGTTCGGCAGTGAGGAATCTAGCTGGCTGGGCTCCTCTCTAGGAGACGAGCACCAGGGTGGGGAGGACAGGGGCCCGTGGGTGTGCACAGTTGTGCCTGCCCGCCTGCATGTGTGCATCGCTGTGGGTGTATCTGCTCATACGGCGTGTGCATCGCTGTGCACGCATGTGCTCGTACGCACGCACACATGCAGACAGGCAGAACTGGGGAAGGGTTCTGGGGTGCCTCGGGCCCCATCTCATCTCTACCGAGTACACCTGGAATCATTGAGAGCCAGGAAGTAGGACTTGAATCGCACCTGGCAAATGGCCGTGGGTGGGGTGGGAGCTGGGGTTTGCTCTGCAAACGTGACTGTTACCGCGTTGCACTTGGAAGCGCTCCAGTGATTTGGAAGCTGTTTTCCTGCACTTTGAAGTGCTCCAGTGACTTGGGTTTTCCTTCCCTCTTCAGCCCAGGTTTCCCTGCGTGTGCATGAAAACCCTTCAATCAGATTGTTTCCATCCCAACAGCTTCCCTTAGAACAGTGGCAACCCTGTGGGTGCGCCACGGTGAGGTGAACCGCAGGGTGGTTCGTAGGATCCATTCCCCACCCTTACTAGTACGGCCGACAACTCTGCTCTGGGGCCCTGGATTCCTGGGAAAGACGGAAACAAAGAGAAAATGGACCCCCCCCCCCCCACCCCGAGCTTCTGGCAGTTGCATCATCCCTGGTATTAACTCACTACTGCATCGTGTCGCTGGAAGATGGACAGATGCCTTGTTTAGGCTGGAGCTCACTTGTGAGTTCTCATCAAGCCTTGCAACCTGTCTGTGTGTGCTTGGTAATGACTTGGACCCCAGACACCACGAAGGGTCAAGCGGGAACACGGTCTTACGCGGCCAAGGGGTTCGTGCGTTTTGTGTTGCCCGTTCTTTTTGGAGAATGTGTATCTCACTGGTCATTGATCAGAGAGGGTGTCACTAAGTGAAAGCCACACTCTGCCTTAGAGAGACCAGATGACGCCTCCTGGATGAGGTGGGCCGTCGGACCTGTAGTGTCGCTCCTGAATTCTCATTTTTGTTCCTCCTCTTTCCTTGAAGGAGTCTTCCCCTGGAGCCAGCACGGAAGTGCTCACGTTTCCCGACTCCCACCATGGTCTCAGAAGACAGAAGAGGGACTGGGTTATTCCTCCCATCAGTTGCCCAGAAAATGAAAAAGGCCCATTTCCTAAAAACCTGGTCCAGGTAAGGAGGGCAGTTCTCTATTTGGGAGAAATCGAGCAGAGCAGCACCGGGGAGAGAAGGGGAGGAGACCTGACCGGGGGAGGGGTGTCGTTGCTCAGCGGCCCTGTTTGCTTTTGGCTCCTGCCTTCAGATCAAGTCCAACAGGGACAAGGAGACCCAGGTCTTCTACAGCATCACCGGCCAGGGAGCCGACACGCCGCCTGTTGGTGTCTTCATCATCGAGAGGGAGACGGGATGGCTGAAGGTGACGGAGCCTCTGGACCGAGAACACATCGCCAAGTACACGGTGAGTGCCTCCGAGGAGCTTGGTTGACAGTGGGTTGGCTTCCGTCCAGAATCTAGGTCAACCCAGATCAGATCCCCGACATGGGAGGGGCTCGATCTGTTGCCAAGGAGACGAGACAGGGGCACCCAGGACAATTTGAAGTTGTGAATTGTTTTCCTTTTAGGAGAAAGGGGGGGACAGTGCTCTCGTACCATGCGTGAGTTTAGACCCAGGATATCAACCTGCTCTTGGCTTAAAGGAGCAGTGGTGACACTGGGGGAAGAACCAGTTCCTGGACTTGGTAGCAGGCAGTGTGGGTTTGGGGCGGCTGGAGGGAACGTGTTGGTGCACGTGCAGAGGGGTCTGGGGCAACTCCAGACTGGATGGCTTTATCCCTTCTGGGCCTGATGCCCTGGTCCTCGGGGTGGGAAGCAGAAGGGGGTCAGGATCTCACTGAAGCAGCAGCCCAGGTCTCAGAGTAGAAGTCGCAGAGGCCGGAGGATCCCACACTGCCCTGGCCAGGCCCATCCTCTGCCTCTTCATCCTCGCCGGGGCCCGAGTAACCTTCCACTGGCTCCTGCAGCTCTTCTCTCACGCCGTGTCGTCTAACGGGAACGCCATTGAGGACCCGATGGAGATCGTGATCACGGTGACGGACCAGAACGACAACAGGCCTGAGTTCACCCAGGAGGTCTTCAAGGGCTCGGTCATGGAAGGCGCGCTACCAGGTCTGTCCAGGACGAGCGGCTGGTTGCCTGGAGCCGGGGTCAGGCCCCTGACGCGGACCCTTGCTGTGGACAGAACTTGTTTGGGAGCCAGTGTGTGTGTGTGTGTGTGTGTGTGTGTGTGTGCACATGCAACACAACCTAGCCTCAGGAATGTGCGACTGATGGAGCAGTGACAGCCACCTCCCCCCCTGCCTAACACAGCAGTGCTTGTGTATTGCTCTTTGTTCTTCTAAGGTTTATTATTTGAAAGTCAGAGTTAGCCATCAGTTTTCCGTCTGCTGGTCCACTCCCCAGACAGCCACAACCATCAGGGCTTAGCCAGGCAGGAGCCAGGAGCTTCATCCAGGTCTCCATGTGGGTGGCAGGGGCCCAAGCGCTTGGGCCATCTTCTGCAGCTTTTCCCAGCCCATTAGCAGGGCACTGGATCGGAAGTGGAACAGCTGGGACTCAAACCAGGACCCATATGGGATGCCAGCATCGCAGGTGGAGCCTTACCTGCTTTGCCATAGCCACATGTGCTGCTCACACAACATGCTGAGCCATGTTAAGCGATGACAGAGTGTCTCCCAGGTGGCTGAACCGGTTTACATTCCCACCAGTAATATAGATCCTGGGCTTACTGGACATTTTGGCGTTTGCCTACCTGTCGTGTGATTATGTCTTAGTGCAGTTTAAAAGGGCATCTCAGTGATTACCAGTGAGCTACACAACTTTGCTAGCCACTTGTGTTTCTTTTTCAGGACTGTGTGTGTGTGTGTGTGTGTGTGTTTCTGTTGGGCTGGTTGTGTTCCCTAGTGATCCTTTTCCTAACTGTGTAGTTGTTTAAAAAAATTTTACTTATTGAGGGATAGAGAAAGAGCACTCCCATCTGCTGATTTACTCCCCAAATACCCACAACATCTGGAGCTGGCCAGGCTGAAACCAGGGGCCAGGAACTCCAGGTCTCCCATATGGGTTGCAGGGACCCAAGTACTTGGGCTATCACCTGCTGCCTCCCAAGGTGCAGTAGCAGGAGGTGGAGTCGGGAGCAGAGCCAGGACTTGAAGCTAGGCAACTCCAGTGCCTACTCAGTGCCTTAGCCACTGGGCCAATTGCCTGCCCCCTTGTTGATTTTTTTTTTTTTAAAGATTTTATTTATTTGAAAGGCAGAGTTAGAGAGGTGGAGAGAAAGAGAGAGAGGTCTTGTATCTGCTGGTTCACTCCCCAAATGGCCACAACGTCAAGAGCTGGACCAACCTGAAGCCAGGAGCTTCTTCCAGGTCTCCCATGTGGGTGCAGGGGCCCAAGGACCTGAGCCATCTTCCACTGTTTTCCAGGCGCATTAGCAAGGACCTGGATCAGAAGTGGAGAAGCTAGGACTTGAACTGGCTCCCATATGGGATGCTGGCACTGCAGGCTGGGGCTTTAACCCTCTACGCCACAGTTGCTGGGCCCAAACCCTACCCTGTTGATTTTTAAGCATTATTTAGATGTTCTAGATACTAGACTAGACACTAGTCTCTTGTCAGTCACACGTGTTAATGAGTATTTTCTTCCACCTTGAAGGCAATGATCTCAAATTACCATGCACTCCAATAAAGCTGCAACAACAAGCCAAGTGAGGAAAGTTCTGGAATGTTCTTTCTGTCTGTCTGTCTGTCTTTCTTGGCAGAGGAAAACAGGAGAGATTGATTGATTGTTCATCTTCTGGCCCACTGCCCAGATGGTTGCAATGGCCATGGCTAGACCAGGCTTAAGCCAGGAGCCTGGAAACTCCATCCAAATCTCCCACCTGGGTGCAGGAACCAAGCACTCAGGTCATCTTCCGCCGCCTTCCCTGGCACATTAGCAGGGAGCTGGATCAGAATTAGAACAGCCGGGGCTCAAACTGGTGCTTGTACATAATGCCAGCATTGCAGATAACAGCTTAAGGCATCACACTACAATGCCAGTGCCTGGATTTTTCTTATCTTTGATGCCATTCACTCAGTAAAGCCACATCACAAAGTGTTGTAGAGATATTTAGTCCTCAGATTCACCTCTGCGTGCTGCCCGAAATGTGTGTTGGAAAAGTTGGGTCCTCGTTTGGCTGGATGCTTTCTTCCTCCCCTTGCGCTTTAGTGAGAACGTCAGAGAATTGGCATCAGCTGCTGGTGGGGGAGCCTGGCTGTCGCAGGCATCCGGGGAGTTAACTGGTGGGAAGGAGCTCGCTCCGTCCGTCTCTAACTCAACGGATAAAGTAAAAGTTCAGCACTCAGGGCCCAGGAGCTGGGACGTGACCGCATCGAAGCTGCCCTCTGTCCTGTGGGCACGAAGTCGGCCCCAGGGCGGCCGTCAGGTTCCCAGCCTGATTGCGTCTTCTTCCCCGGGGCAAACAGGAACGTCCGTGATGCAGGTCACGGCTACGGACGCGGACGATGACGTGAACACCTACAATGCTGCCATCGCCTACGAAATCCTCAGCCAGGAGCCCGAGCTGCCGCACAAGAACATGTTCAGGATCAACCCGCAGACCGGAGTCATCAGTGTGGTCACCACCGGGCTGGACCGAGAGGTCAGGAGGACCCAGGGGACATGGAAGCGGCTGTGTGGTTGGCTAAATCCCGTGGCAGTGCGAGGCCACTTGTCCCAGAGCGGCGGCCGCTGCCCCCGTCCTAACCCGAGTGTGCTTGGTCTCCGCAGACGTACCCCGAGTACACCCTGGTCGTTCAGGCTGCTGACCTCCAAGGCGAGGGCTTGAGCACCACGGCGGAAGCGGTGATCACGGTCACTGACATCAACGACAACCCTCCCGTCTTCAACCCCACCACGGTAATCTCCCAGCGGTGCTGCTGCCCTCTGTTTGGGAGCCGAGCTTCCCCACTGCTCTGGGGAGGTCCTGCGTGCGCTCCCCAGCCCGGGCGATGCCGACTTAGAACCTGGAGGCCAACGCTCCGGCCTGGCCGTTGTGCTCGGGCATCTTTTTTCCCATCTCTGGCCCCGAGGCCCCTTGGTGGAGGACCGCGAAGATGCAGACAGCGCCCCTCAAAACCATGTCCTTGCCTCGCGTGTCCTTGTTGCGGATCTTACAGGGGTTCATTTACTCGCTGGGCAAATGTTTCCTGCTTGCAGCTGCACACTGTGGCGTGCGCTGGAGGCATCCTCACAGACAAAGCACACACAGGTTCTGTTCTACAGCTCAGCGTCTAGCCGGGGAGATACTGAGTAGTTTGCACGCCTTACTGAATACCAAGTATAATAAATGCATTCTGGAAGAAGGCACCGAGGGCCGAATGGAAGAACTTACTGTATTAGTTAGGAGTTGAGTTATTGGCTGGCTACATAGGCCTGATTATGTAAACAAATAGGGTTGACTCTTTTTTTTTCTCTAATGTGGCAAAAAGCCTGCAGGTAGATGGGGTACGCTTTGCTGAGGCCACTTGTCACCTTAGTGTGGTGACAGCAAAGACCCCAGGGAAGAAAGCCAAACAAGGCAGGTGTCCAGGAGCTCGTGGGTAGAGGGGAGAATGTTAGAATTTGTCCTTGGGCACAAAGGTGCCCTCACGACCAAACTCTGGAAGGAGATGACTGATGGAGGGTGCACGGGGGTGGAGCTGGACCGCAGTGTCCATGCGGGGCTTAGGTCACTGCCCCAGCTGGGTTGGCAAGCTCTCGGGGACTTGGGGAGCCAGGGCCTTGGAGAGCTATGCACAGGGTAGCTGGCCTGGCCTGTTGTACCAGGCCTCCTGCAGGCTCCGTTAGCCCCCTGGGCCCCGGGCACCCTGGGCCTCTGCATACCGGGATGACCTGTTCCTCCCTTGGCTCTGCAGTACGTGGGCCAGGTGCCCGAGAACGAGGCCAACTACCTGGTTGCCACGCTCAAAGTGACCGACAAAGATGAGCCTAACACCCCGGCCTGGGAGGCTGTGTACACCGTATTGAACGATCCTGAGGGCCAGTTCATTGTCACCACGGACCCGGCCACCAATGACGGCATCCTGAAGACAGCCAAGGTTTGTGCAGTGCCGGGAGGGGACGTCCCCCAGCTGTTCCCACCAACCCCCACCCCCCGGTCTTCTCTGGTGTCGGTCAGCGTTTGCTGAACCAGGACCTGGTGCGATGGCGTAGGGGTCGTAGTGACCTGCAGGCCAAGCGGAAGAGGATGTCCTGTCTGCTTTCCTGTGCTCCTTCCCAGACCACACTCCACCTCCTTTTGCAAACGGCAGGAAGCAGGGTTCCGGAGGCAGAGACAGACACAGAGCCCTCTCATCCACTGAGTCACTCCTCAAATGCCCGAAACACTTGAGGCTGGAGCAGGCCAAATGCGGTAGCCTGGAACTCCATCCAGGTCTCCGGCGTGGATGGCGGGGAGCCAAGTGCTTGGGGGTCACCTCCTGCCTCCACAGCGCACGTTAGCAGGAAGCTGAGATGGAATCCAGGCGCTCCATGTGGGATGCCAGAATTCCGGTTGCATCCTAACTGCTGAGCAGATACAGCCGTCCTCGAGAAGCGTCTTAGAGACGTGAAAACCGAGACGTTTTTGCTGAAGGTAGTCATGGAGGTCATGGGCGCCTGGCCCAAGCCCAGAGCTTCAATTTCCGTTTGAGCGAGCAAGCAGCCAGGTGTGAGAACTGCTGGTATGGACTAAGTAACAGCCATTGCTCTAATCTTTTTCTTGATATACAATTTTTTAAAGCTGCTGCTGCTGCTTTTTTTTTTCAAAGATTATTTGTTTGGAAGGCAGAGTTAGAGAGAGAGAGAGAGGGAGAGAGAGGAGAGAGAGAGAGAGAGAGAGAGATCGATCGATCGATCGATCTTCCCTCTGCTGGTTCTGCTTCATTCTCCAAACGGCTGCAATGGCTGAGGCTGGGTCAGGTCAAAGTCAGGAGCCCGGAACTCATCAGTGCAGGGGCCCAGGCCCTCGGGCATCTCCGCTGCCTTCCCCGCACCCCGGCAGGGAGCTGGACCTGAAGCCCGGCCTTGTTCCGTCCTCAGGGCTTGGACTTCGAGGCGAAGCAGCAGTACATTCTCCACGTGACCGTGCAGAACGCCGTCCCCTTCGAGGTGGCCCTCCCCACCTCCACGGCCACCGTGACTGTGGACGTGGTGGACAGGAACGAAGCCCCCATCTTTGTGCCTCCCGAGAAGAGGGTGGAGGTGCCCGAGGACTTCGGCGTGGGGCTAGAAATCACATCCTACACCGCCCGGGACCCGGACACATTCATGCAGCAGAAGATAACGTAAGTGTGCTTCCCCAGCTGCCAGGCAACAGCTGGTGTTTTATGTACACATGCAGACATACGTGTTATTTTATAACCTTACCCATGTAATTGTATGTGATGTTTCATGGCTACTTATCAGTAAGACCTTTCTCGTGTTTAGTTTACTTTTTAAAAAAGTTTTATTCATTTATTTGAAAGGTAGAGTGAAAGAGACAGGAAGAAAGAGAATCTTACAACCACTAGTTCTCCCCAAATGCCCACAACAGCCAGGACGGAGCCAGGCTGCAGCCAGAGCCTTGAGCGCCATCTGGGTCTCCCATGTGGGTGACACGAACCCAAGCACTTGGGCCATCTCCTGCTGCCTCCCAGGTACAGTCCCGAGGAGGGACTGTAGCCCAGGCACTGCAGAGTGGAATGTGGGTGTCCTAAGTGGTATCTTAACTCCTGGGCCAAACTCCTGCCCCAACCCCAGGTCCTGTAGTGTTTGTGGAGCCCCTTGGGCCTGGAACAAAGATGACTTCCTGGGGCTGGCCTTGAGGTATAGTGGATAAAGCTGCCACCTGCAATGCTCTACCCACTGCGGTGCCAGCACCGGTTCGCATCCTGGCTGCTCCACTTCCAATGAGCTCCCTGATAATGTGCCTGGGAAAGCTGCAGAAGATGGCCCCTGCACCCACGTGGGAGATCAAGATGAAGTTCTGTACTCCTGGCTTCCGCCTGGCCCAGCCCCTGCCATTGCAGCCATTTGGGGAATGAACCAGGCAATGGGAGACCAGGCTGTCTCTGTCTGTCTCTCTTTATGTCTGTCAGTCTGCCTTTCAAGATCTTTTGACAAAAATGGTATTGTTGAAAAAGAAAAGGCAGGCTGAGGAATGGTTCAGAATTCATGGGCAGCAGAGAGATAGGCCCACTGAGTGCCAGGCATGACCCTGAACCAGGAAGGGTGCCGGCTAAACATCGCCCTCTTGAGAAAACTGACCATTTGAATATGTGTCATTTATTTAACGATAGTATCTATCAAAGTTTTAGTTCCTGAAATTAAAAGTTGTTGTGCAAGCAAATGGCTTTGTTCTTGGGAGATAAGACGTAGATGAAAGCGTCAGAGTACAGGAATGTGATGTCTGCACCTGAATCTCTGGTGCTGGGCAGGATGAGAAATGGTGTGTGTCAACGTGTGCGTCAGCCGAGGCTGTGTGTGTGTGTGTGTGCCGGGGGGAAGGGCAGGTGCAGGCGCCGGCGCCCGGCCCAGACCCGGCCAGTGACGGCTCTGCGGGGCTGAGCGGAGTGGCTCAGTGCTGGGGCAGGCGCCTTGGCCTTTTGCAGCCGTGCCCACGCTCAGCCCGAGCTCGCGCCTTTTCAGGTATCGGATTTGGAGGGATGCCGCCAACTGGCTGGAGATTAACCCAGAGACGGGTGCCATCTCCACGCGGGCGGAGCTGGACCGGGAGGACACAGACTATGTCAAGAACAGCACGTACACGGCGCTCATCATCGCCACGGACAACGGTGCGTCTGGAAGCATGTGCTCACTGCTCGCCGTGTGTCCCTGAGCCGCATCCGGCTCGTGTGACAGTCAGATAATCTGGGTCCCGCAGAGGCCCCTCATCACCAAGGGAGCCAGATTGATAGCTCAGGTCCAACCCTTAAAACCCGCGAGAATGGGGCTGACTGCTTGATTTTTAAACCCCTGACTTCTTTAAGTTAATTTTACTTCCTTATTTTTCTCAGCTTTATATCCATAGCTCTTTTTTTTTAATATGAAAGGGGGAATAAAGATTTATTTATTTATTTATTTATTTACTTATTTATTTGAAAGGCAGAGTTACAGAGGGAGAGACAAAGAAGTAGAGCAGCCAGGACTTGAACCAGTGGCCGTTTGGGATGCTGACATTGCAGCTGGCAGTTTAACTTGCTGTACCATAGTGCCAGCCCCAAACATGCCTTTTAATGGAAGGTCTAAGAGGAGAAGGAAGTTTCTTTAGAAAATCTATTAGTGTATTTAAATAAAAATTTTTAAAATTCATTTTACATGATAAATGCTCATTTGTCACAGGAATATTCACAGGACCAGTGTTGTGGTATGGCAGATTAAACCTCCTCTTGCAACATTCGAGTTCCACATCAGAGTGCAGGTTCAAATCCTGCCAGTTCCAATTCTGATATAGCATCCTGTTACTTCCCCTGGGAGGGCATTGGAAGATAGCTAAAGTGCTTGCCCTGAGGCCATTGGAGAGTATGCCAGCAGATGGAAAATCTCTCTCTGTGTCTGTCCTTTCTCTCTCTCTTGCTCTTTCAAATAAATAAAAGTTTTTTTAAAAAAAGTTACGTGCAGAGACATCCTTGGTGTGGGCGTAACTTGAGCAATGTCAGCATGGGAGGCAGCGTGTCAGCCACCTGCTCAGCTTCGAGTGAGTGGCTGGGGTGGGCAGGACAGAGCCCCATGGCTAGGGCAGGGCCTGGTGAGGCGCCGGCCGAGACCGGGCCTCGTGGGAGGCAGCGAGGGCGCTCGTGCGTTCCTGAGCCGTGACATTTCCTGTCTGTTTTCCCTCAGGTTCCCCACTTGCCACCGGCACTGGAACCCTTCTCCTGATCCTGTCTGACGTGAATGACAACGCGCCGGTGCCTGACCCGCGCAGGATGGACTTCTGCCAGAGGGACCCACAACCTCAGCTCATAAACATCATCGATCCCGACCTTCCTCCCAATACCTCCCCCTTCACCGCAGAGCTCACGCACGGGGCCAGCGTCAACTGGACCATTGAGTACAGTGACCCACGTAGGTGCTGAGCGGTCTCCCGCACACCCGGCTCTGGTGGCCTTCTTCCTCCCCCCACCCCCCGCCTCCTCCGACCCGGCTTCTTCCGAGTGTCCCTTCTCACCCCCTGTCCCTTCTGCATTTGGGGCATCGCACCAGGGGCCCTTCTCTTTCCTGGTATCCAACTTGGAGACGCGCTGCCCCATAATCGGAAAGCCCGGCAGGTCTCCCTCCCTGTGCTCAGCATTGGAAGCCCTTTATTCTAGAATGAGCTCCTCTCCCCCCGCCCCCGCCTGCCCCATCGCTGATTGGGTCACCTTCCCCAGGTCAAGAGTCTATCATTTTGAAGCCAAAGAAGACTTTAGAGCTGGGCGACTACAAAATTAACCTGAAGCTCGCAGACAACCAGAACAAAGACCAGGTGACCACCCTGGATGTGCTCGTGTGTGACTGCGAGGGCGCCGTCAACAACTGCATGCGGGCCACGTACGTGGAAGCGGGCCTGCAGGTCCCCGCCATTCTGGGCATTCTCGGAGGAATCCTGGCTCTGCTCAGTAAGTGCGGCTGTGGGCCTCTCGGCCTCGACTTCCTGTGCGGGGCGGTTCCCTGGGCTCCAGGTTAACATGATCAAGGCAGGAGACTTTCCAGAACAGTGGCTCAAAGAGAATAGAATTCTGTCTCTTAGCCAGCATTTCAGAGGCGACTGCTCAGCCTGCGAGGCGGCCCTATCTGTGGAGTGAGCAGGGCACCCAGGTTCCTTCTGTTTGGTTTGTTCCCTGCCTGAACTCGAGTGCATCCAAGGCGTGCATGCTCTGGTCCAGTGGATCTGGCCTGGGGCCTCAGAGTCTGATTTCTCACCAGCTTCCGGGTGGTGGCAGCATTGCAGGCCCTTGGACCACAGGCAGATGAGCAAGGCCTCAGTTCTGTGTGGGTGGGGCCTGTTTGCAGCCGGTGATGTCTTATACAGCCCCGTCCACAGTGGGGAGACAGCCCCTGGCACAGGTACGAGTGCCCCATGTTCCAGGTGACCAGTCGTGGGCCAGGGCAGTACATTGGCATCTTTCTGATTTCACAAACAGTGGGTAGGTTGGGTCCTGTCATCTGAAACCTCCCCCAGGGTGAGCATTGGGTGGCACAGGGAGTGAAGCTGCTGCTTGCCATATCAGAGCGCCGGTGAACTTCTCACTTCTGATCCTGCTTCCTGGTAAGGCACCAGCGGAGGCTCAGTTAGGAGGATGGCCTGATGCTTGGACCCCTGCCACCCACATGGAGTTCCTGGCTCTTGGCTTCAGCTTAGCCCAGCCCTGGTTGTTGTGGCTATGGTGGAGTGAACCAGTGGATGGAAGATCCCTTTCTCTTTCTTGTACTCTGCCTTTCAAATAAAAATGAACAACTGTTAAAAGATAAAACTGGGGGCCTGCGCTGTGGCGTAGTAGGCTAAGCGGCCTCCTGCAGCGCTGGCATCCCATATGGGCGCCAGTTCATGTCCCGGCTGCTCCTCTTCCGATCCAGCTCTCTGCGATGGCTGAGGAAAGCAGTAAAAGATGGGCCAAGTTTTTGGGCCCCTGTACCTGTGTGGGAAGAGGCTCCTGGCTCTTGCTTTTTTGGCTTCAACCTGGCCCAGCCTCAGCCATTGCAGCCATTTGGGGAGTGAACCAGTAAATGGAAGACCTCTCCTTCTCTCTATAACTCTACCTCTCTAATAAATTAATAAAATATATATGTATGTATACAAAATTAAGTATTCCAAAAATAGTCCCAAGACCAGGTGGAAATTACACAGATTTTAGGGCTTGCTTATATAATTTTTATCTAAGGAGAAGATTAAAAAACATTCTGTGGGTTGCCCGTGGTTGGGTAGCAATAATATCCACAAATCAGTCTCGTCTAGGCTGACCTAACAGCTCTGCTCCTAACTCTAACTCCTGGTCTCTCCATCCCTTCTACCCTCGGAGGACCTCTCCTCTCTCCCTCGGTCACACCGGGCTCGCTCCTGCCTCGGGGCCTTTGCTGTTTCCTGTGTGGGAAACAGTTGTCCCAGATGAGGGGCACTGACAGCGAGGGCCTTCTGAAAGTTCAGGGCCCCGTTTGGATTCACGTCACAAGTGTCGTATGGCGTGTGGCACCTTCAGGCACGTGTACATCCTGTGGGTTGACATCCATGAGTGTTTCATTTATTTTCCAACATTTAAAAAAATTGCTTTTTTAATTTATTAGGAAGGCAGAGTGGCCGAGACATAGATAGAGAGATCTTGCCTGTGCTGGTAGCTGAGGCTGAGCCAGGCTGCATCCAGGAGCCGGGAATGCCACCATCCGGGCCTCCCCTGTGGATGGCAGGGTCCCCAGGTACTTGAGCCATCACCTGCTGCCCCCCAGGGCGCTCATGAGCAAGAAGCCGGATCAGAAGCCGAGTTGGGACCCAAACCCAGGCCTCTCCGTATGTGATGTGGGCCCCCAAACAAGCATGTTACAGGCAGCTGCTGCCCGTGGCTGTGCGGGGTCAGCAGGCGCCCACTCTCCAGCTGCCTTTCCCACGACGCTCATCACCCTTGTTCTCCCTCTCCCCGCCACAGTCCTGGTTCTGCTACTGCTGCTGTTTGTCCGGAGGAGAGGGGTGGTCAAAGAGCCCTTACTGCCCCCAGAGGACGACACCCGGGACAACGTGTATTACTACGACGAGGAAGGAGGCGGAGAGGAGGACCAGGTGCGCTTTTCACGTTCAGTGGTGCTCCTGTGATTCGGAAGAAGTGCTGATTCCCAGGGGAAGGCATCTGAAATAGCTCTGTGCTGCCTTGTACTACTTTCAAAAGCCTTGCCCGAGAAGACAGGCTCTGTCATCAGCCTTCATCATCGTAGCTACCATGGCGACCGTTTACTGATCACTTGCTGTTCTGTACTGAGATGAGGGAGCCGAGGCCCAAGGTCACACAGCCAGGAGGAGGTGGCCCCGCTGTTCTGGCTCCACAGCCCACTGTTCTGAGGCGCATGTCCCTCACTGTCGCCCCCCAGTGGTAGTTCAGGCACCAGCCAAAACCATAATCCACCAACTGCACATAGCCCTATGTCTGTGGCTACTGCTTTTTTGTCTCCTGATTACCTTTTTTTCCTTTTACCTTTTTCTCCAAAGGACTTTGACTTGAGCCAGCTGCACAGAGGCCTGGATGCTCGGCCCGAAGTCATTCGCAATGACGTGGCCCCGACCCTCATGAGTGTGCCCCAGTACCGCCCCCGACCTGCCAATCCTGACGAAATCGGGAACTTCATTGATGAGGTATGCAAGCCGAATCCAAAAGGCTCTTGGGACTTTTTCCCTTGCCCAATCTCCGAATCCTTTAACCTAAGAACTGCGTGAAAGAATTTAGTTGATCTAGAAAATGTGGTTTGGTTTCATTAATGGACCCCTGTGTATACCACTACCAGCTGGGGCGTGACATTGAGTGTGTATTGCAGGTCTCCCTGAGAGCTGAGGAAATAGTATCCACACTGTAAGTGTCAGAAAATCATTCAGCTCCAAACAGGAGAAGCATAAGCAGATAGGAGTAGATTTATCTCCCGTGAACAGAAGGGTGAGGACGCACCTCACCTTCCTACCCCATCATCATAGCCTGTAGATCCTTGCTCTCATGCTTGTTGCCTCATGATCACAAAAGGGTTGCCATGCTTTCATGCATTTAGTTTGGGGAAAGATGAGAAGGAACTGGGAGTGGGGCTGAACAGAGTCCGGGGAGGGAATGTCGCCACCTACTGTCTCACTCAGGGACTGCAGTGACTTCCAGGGCTTGCCTGATGGTCCAGCGGCCCTCACGGCCGGTTTATGCTTGGCGGGGGCTTGTTTTGCTTTAGCTCGATGGGAGTTGCTGTCACTGTCACTTTGCAAGGCACAGCAGCGGGCCAGGGGACCCTTGGAGAAAAGGAACGGAAAGGCCCTGTGTAACCATCACTCTCTATCCAGGTCCTTTTCACCACTAACAATCAGTGGTAGAGCATGATATTTAGTTGTAGTATTTAGAGAAAAATTATAGGGATTAAGTTATTGCTATTTTGGCCAGCACCGCGGCTCACTAGGCTAATCCTCCACCTGCGGTGCCGGCACACCGGGTTCTAGTCCCAGTCGGGGCGCCAATTCTGTCCCAGTTGCCCCTTTTCCAGGCCAGCTCTCTGCTGTGGCCCGGGAGTGCAGTGGAGGATGGCCCAAGTCCTTGGGCCCTGCACCCGCATGGGAGACCAGGAGGAGGCACCTGGCTCCTGGCTTCGGATCAGCGCAGCACACCGGCTGTAGCGGCCACTTGGGGGTGAACCAATGGAAGGGAGACCTTTCTGTCTCTCTGTCTAACTCTGCCTGTCAAAAAAAAAAGTTATTGCTATTTTAAAAGTATAAATTATATGTTAAGGGAGGGCCGGCGCTGCGGCTCACTAGGCTAATCCTCCGCCTAGCGGCGCCGGCACACCCGGTTCTAGTCCCGGTTGGGGCGCCGGATTCTGTCCCGGTTGCCCCTCTTCCAGGCCAGCTCTCTGCTGTGGCCAGGGAGTGCAGTGGAGGATGGCCCAGGTGCTTGGGCCCTGCACCCCATGGGAGACCAGGAAAAGCACCTGGCTCCTGGCTCCTGCCATCGGATCAGCGCGGTGCGCCGGCCGCAGCGCGCTGGCCGCAGCGGCCATTGGAGGGTGAACCAACGGCAAAGGAAGACCTTTCTCTCTGTCTCTCTCTCTCACTGTCCACTCTGCCTGTCAAAAAATAAAAAATAAATAAATAAATAAATAAAAAATATGTTAAGGGAGGGTGGATTGCAAAGCCGAGGGCAGTCATTGTAACTCAGTGGCTTAAACTGCTTCTTGGGATACCCACGGCCCATCCTGGGCAGCAGCATCAGATTAGGACCCAAGCCCTTGGTCTCTGGCAGTCACATGGGAGACCCGGATGAAGCTCCTGGCTGCTGGCTTCAGCCTGGCCCAGCCCTGGCTGTCAAAGCCACTGGGCAGTGAACAGCGATGGAAGCTAGTTCTCCCTCTCCCTGTCCTCCTTCTGCCCTTCTCTCCCACTTTGCCTTTCAAACAAATAACACAAAAAAAACATGAAAAAGACTCGGTTCCAGCAACCCCAGGCACAGGGCTCCGCCTCTGACCGCCCTGTCCCGGAGTGACGGGGCGGGGCTCCGCTCCTGACCGCCCTGTCCCGGAGTGACGGGGCGGGGCTCCGCCTCTGACCGCCCTGTCCCGGAGTGACGGGGCGGGGCTCCGCTATGTCATGGCCGGCCCTCCCGTGCGGGTTTGTCACATGCTGCGGGGAAAGCAAGAGAAAGCCTCTTGTCCCTTGTCCCTTCACTGAGAGGTGCTGTCCCTGGTCTTTCCCAGAACCTGAAGGCGGCCGACAGCGACCCCACGGCGCCCCCGTACGACTCCCTGCTGGTGTTCGACTACGAGGGCAGCGGCTCCGAGGCTGCCAGCCTCAGCTCCCTGAACTCCTCAGAGTCCGACCAAGACCAGGACTACGACTACCTGAACGAGTGGGGCAACCGCTTCAAGAAGCTGGCGGACATGTACGGGGGCGGCGAGGACGACTAGGGGCCCTGAGAAGGGCGGGGCCCCCAGAGGCGGCTGCGGGCGAGGCGCAGGGGACGCCGCTGTGGTTTCTCGGCTCCCCTCCTCCTTCCAGCTGAGTTCCCGGGAAAGACCCCGATCAAGGGTGCAGTGAAAGGTAGTTAGGATTTCCCTCTGTCGCTGTCGTCTGTGTGTGGTAGAAAGGTTTTTGACTTACTCCTCCAGTTTTTCTGACACGTCATGATGTCCCAGAGGCCCCCAGATGTGAATGTTCCAAAAGGAACAAACTCCATCCACTCCCACGTGGCTGCGCCAGCAATTTGCAGATTTCCCTTAGGGGCCTTTGTCTGGACCTTCACAGGAAGGGGGGTCAGCTGCCCTGGCGGTCTGCTTCTCTCCCCATCCTGGCACCAGGGTCCCCTGTCCCGAACCCCCCCCCCCCACCCCGTCCCGCTCCACCTGCTAGTGTCCCCAGCCATGCACAAGTGGCCCCGCCGTCTCAGGGCAGGAGGCGGGGTCTCGGGCAGGTCCCGCAGTTGGCTGGGTTCTGTATCCTCTAGTTCGTGGTTTCCTTTTTCTTCTCTGAGCCCTGATGTTCCTGGTTCTCCACAAGGGAGCCCGGGCCAGGAGAGGCCATGGATCCTCAGGTGACACTTAGTTTTCCATGTTTCATCACTGACATGAAAGAGTGATTGATAGTGAGTCCGAGAATGGTGCCTGCGTGCTGCCACCCAGGACAAGGGGATGGGAGGGCAGCCTCGCTGCTGCGGGCCCGCCCACCTCACAGCCACAGCAGGATGCAGGATGCACCCGGGCTCCCTATCCAGGGTCTGTGGGCCCTCATTCTTCCCGAAGCCCAGAATTCCCAAGTGCCTGCTTTTGATGGTGTCTGCAAAATATGCTGGCTGATCTGGACACGTTTGCCCAGTTCCAAGTGTGCACAGAAAACTAAGAATGTTGCAGCTTCCAGTTTATTTTCCTTAGGAGCAGGAATTAAACAGCGCCCTGAAGGGTGTTAAGGAGTTGGTGTTGTGGTGCAGTGGGTTGCGAGCCCAGCATCCCACGTGGGGACACTGGTTCCATCCGGGTTACTCGGCTTCTGACCCAGCTCCCTGCTACAGTGCCTGGGAAAGCAGTGAATGATGGCCCAGGTATGTGGGCGCCTGCACCTACGTGGGAGGCCCAGATGGAATTCCTGACTCCTGGTTTCAGCCTGGCCTAGACCTGGCTGTTGTAGCCATTTGGGGAGTGAACCATCGATCTTTCACTCTCTCCCTCGCTCGCTGTCGCTCTAACTTTCAGACCAATCAACCAATCAGTCTTTTAAAAAATGTTAAACAGATCTTGATTTGGATTTTTTTTTTTAATTCAAAATGCAAATCTCAACTTTTGACAACCACAGGAAGAGTTTCATTGAGATTGCTTTACTGCCTGTCAGCTGTTTTTGGAAGAAGAAGAAAATCATCTGTGCAGTCACTTGTTGGGGTTATCTTCACTTTCCTGCGGTTCCGACTGTGTCTAATGCAGTTCTGTATAGAGAAAGTCACTGTAGTTCCGAGTGCATTTGTGTGTGGGTGCTGATAATTTTGTATTTTCATTGGAGGTGAAAAAGGAAAGCAACTCAAGCCCGGAAAATTATTCTCAAAGATGCATTTTTATAAACTTTATTAAAGAATTTTGTTAAACCACTGTCACACGTGTTTTGTTTGGTTCCCGGGTCCACTGGCAACACAGGGAGAAGCGTCAGGCTAACTTCTGCTGGGGTACACTGGGGGCAGTGCATGCACAGGGTGAAGTTGATAGGGCGACCATCCATCCATGTGGCAAATGACAAAAACCACTGAAATTCCCATGTCGCTGGGAGACCACTGTGGGCTGAGCTGAGGGGCAGAAGCGAAGGGACTCTTGACCTAGTTAGCAAAGTTAGTGTAAGTCGTGGTCTTCCACAGTGGGGAAGACTGCAGCCCCCTCCCCAGGGGACGTGCAGTAAATTCTGGAATGCAATCAGGTCACTATTGGGGATGCTACTAAATATCCTGCAGCACACAGGACGCCCCCTGCTATAAAGAATCGTCAGTGATGTCACTGCTGAGAAACGCTGGTGTGGCCTGCAACTTTGCTGGAAGTGGCTAACATTGGGGTAGAACAGGAAATACTCATTTCACCATGCTGAGTCTATAAGGGTACTTTATTTAAAAAAAAATTATTTATTTGAAAGAGTGACAAAGAGAAGGAGAGGCAGAGAGAGAGAGAGAGGTCTAACATCTGCTGGTTCACTCCCCAATTGGCCACAACGGCCAGAGCTGTGCCAATCCAAAGCCAGGAGCCAGGAGCTTCCTCCGGGTCTCCCATGTGGGTGCAGGGGCCCAAGGACTTGGGCTGTCTTCTGCTACTTTCCCAGGCCATAGCAGACCTAGATCAGAAGTGGAACAGCCAGGACTCAATCAGGCACCCATATGGGATGCAGGCAGCAGCTTTACCCACTATGCCACAGCACCGGCCCCTGTGAGGGTACTTTAAAAAGCTTGCCGAACAGGGATGACGCTGTGGCATAGTGGGCTAAGCCTCTGCCTGCGGTGCCAGCATTCCATATGGTTGCCAGTTCTGGTCCTGGCTGATCCTCTTCAGCATCCCACATGGGTGGCGCTGTTAGGACTCCTGGTGGCTCCACTTCTGATCCAGCTCTCTGTTATGGCCTGGGAAAGCAGTGGAAGATGGCCCAAGTCCGTGGGCCCCTGCACCCTCGTGGGACACCTGGAAGAAGCTCCTGGCCCCTGGCTTCAGATTGGCCCAGCTGTGGCTGTTGCAGCCATTTGGGGAGTGAACCAGCAGATGGAAGATAACTGTCAATAACTCTGCCTCTAAAATAAATAAAATGTTTTTAAAAGGGCTTGCAGACCATAAAATAGAAAGATAAGGTTATTTTGATGCAAAGATTTTTTTGAAATCCATGCATACAAGGGTCTAAGGTTTGTGATGGGCCAGTGCTGTGGCATAGTGGGTAATGCCATTTGGCCTGTGGCACAAGTATCCCATATGGGCACTGGGTTGAGTCCTGGCTACTCCACTTCTGATCCAGGTCCCTGCTAATGTGCCTGGGAAAGCAGTGTAGGACTGCCCAAGCGCTTGGGCCCCTGTACCCATGTGGGAAACCTGGAAGAAGCTTGTGGCTCCTGGCTTCAGCCTGGCCCAGCCCCAGACTGTTGCAGTTGATTTCTCAACAATGTTGCAGTGGATTCCTTTCTGAGAGGAGGAGTGTGGTGGGGGCAAGAGGCACGGAGTCACCACACAGACCCGAGGAGTCAGGTGAAAGTAGGCTTGAGGCAAGCAGCCCGCAGACTCCTTTATTTCAGTTGGTACAACAGCTTATATAGCCAAGACCAGCCAATCCAGTCAAGGGGCAGTCTATGCCCCAACCAATCACAGCCTGTTGCCAGGCAGTTTCCAAAGCCATCCAGTCACAGCCTGTTGCTAGGCAGGCTCCGTTGCCAGGTAGGTTTCAAAGCCATTCCTGAGTAACTGAAGCTCATTTCCAGCAGCCATCTTGGCATGGCCTTCTCATTTCACCACACCAGGCATCGTAGCCATCTGGGGCGTGAACTAGCAGATGGAAGGTCTTTCTCTCTGTCTCTCTCCCAACCCTCTGCCCCATAACTCTGCCTTTCAAGTAAGTAAATAAAAATTATTTTAAAATTATTGACAAATATATAATACGAAAAACTGCATGTGGATCTCAACATCTTGCAGCACCATAAACTTTTCCACCAGCTTTGGGAGGGTCCTTGGACAATTCAGTGGTATTGTCCAGCCACACTGTGCGGCCATCACTGCTGTCTGCCCTTTGCCGGGAGAGGGGAAAAGGGAGAGGGAAAATATTCACTTCCTCAAAAGTGCGCAATGGGCTAAGTGAATCCGTGGGAACTGAATCCAGGTCTCCCATGTGGGTGGCAGCAGCCCAGTTACCTGAGCCATCAGCGCTGCCTCCCAGTGTCTACCTTAGCTGGAGTCGGGAGCCTGAGGGGGGCACTGAACCCAGGTGCTCCAACACAGGACATGGGCATCTTGACTGGTATCATAAACCCAAGGCCAAGTGCCTGCCCCAACATGGACCTGAGTGTGGCCTCCCCCACCAGCCATGCCCCTCCTGCTGGGCAGGAAGTTGAGCCACCCCAGTACTCACCTCCTCCCAGCCCACACTCTGGGACCGGGGACCCTGGGACCCTGGGATTCCCCGTTCAGCATCCAGGCCTTGCAGGCTTCTTTGCTTGCCCTGCCCTGGGGAAGCTGCGCTGTGCTCCCTAGCCGTGGGAGGGAGAGGGCGTGTGGGACGGCCCAGCTGTGCAGGATGCAGCGGCCCACGTGTGCACCTGCCCAGCTCTCCTGGTGCCCGAGATGCAGGTGAGAAGACAAGGCGTGAGTCCGGGGGCGAGGCTGGGGGGTGAGGTCTGAGCATTCTCAGCTGGGACCTGGTATCATTTTCATTTAATCTGATTTATAACAAATATTTACACAAATGGCGTGGGGTCCCCTACTTGCATTTTTTTTGCCCCAATCCCCCACAAAATTCAGGAGTGTGTCTCCCATAAAGTGCATTGCATCCATTTCACTAAATGCTTGACACCTTGAAATGATGTTAAATTTTCTTTTTACAAAATGAAGTTCTACCTAAATGTACATAATGGATGAAAAATTGTCCAAGGGTGGCCTGGAAGAGAATACACACAGGAAGAGAGCAGGACTGTAAGTTTTTAGACTATTTCTCCTTCAACGTGCTTTGTTAGGATTTTGTTTGAGGGAGAGCAGGAGGGAAAGATTCAGGTACTGTTTGCTAAGCAACCCCTTTGTGGCAGATACTGCTAAATACTTGGAAGCAGTGGCACTTTTTAAAAAATGTTATTTATTTGAAAGGCCCAGAGAGATCTTGTATCCACCGATTTACCTCCCAAAGAGCTGTAACAGCCTGGCTGGGCCAGGCTGAAGCCAGGAGCCTGGAATCCATCTGGGTCTTCCATAAAAGTGGCAGGGACCCAGGCACTAGAACCATCACCCAGGGCCTCCCAGGGTGTGCATTAGCAGGAGGCTGGACCTAGGCACGGTGACTGGGATGCAGGCGACGTGAGTGGCATCATCAGTGCTACACCAGAGGCTTGCCCAGGAACACTGTCACCTAACTTCCCCCGCCCCGCCTCGTGGAGACTGTTGTTACCTTGTTGCTTTAGAGACTAGCAAGTGTTGAGGGAGTTGGGCTGGCAGTCAGAGGAGTGGTGGTGACAGAAGGGGACCTAACCAACCCGAGAAAGGGGTTCCACAAACATGTCCCGCAGACATGCAGGCACCCGTGTGAACTCAGGCTGGCTCTGGAGGGCCGGGCAGCTCCCCAGGGGCCACTTCTGCAGAGCAGGCGCCAGGCGTGGCGTGGTGCTTTTGGCTGTGACAATGACAAGAGAACAAGATGAGCTCTTAGTGAGGTGACCTTTTAATGTCCTGCCAGGATTCACGTGGGTGAAAAGCCCGTTTCCAGTGGTCTGAGTCTCAAATCTATTCTGGTTTTTAAAGATTTATTTCTGGGCTGGTGCCGTGGCTCAATAGGTTAATCCTCCGCCTAGCGGCTCCGGCACACGGGGTTCTAGTCCCGGTCGGGGCACTGGATTCTGTCCCGGTTGCCCTTCTTCCAGGCCAGCTCTCTACTGTGGCCCAGGAGTGCAGTGGAGGATGGCCCAAGTCATTGGGCCCTGCACCCCATGGGAGACCAGGAGAAGCACCTGGCTCCTGCCATCGGATCAGCGCGGTGTGCCAGCCGTGGCGGCCATTGGAGGGTGAACCAATGGCAAAAGGAAGACCTTTCTCTCTGTCTCTCTCACTGTCCACTCTGCCTGTAAAAAAAAAAAAAAAAAAGATTTATTTCTTTGAAAAGCAGTGTGGCAGAGACAGCGAGATCTTCCACCTGCTGGCTCACTCCCCACAAGGCAGAAGCCAGGAGCCTAGAGCTCCGACCCCTGTCACCCACCCAAGTACCCGGGCCCTCTCCCACGGCCTTCCCGGGATCACCAACTACTGGCTGGTTGGGAAGAGGATGGAGCACTCTGGCACGGGGTGCTGGAATCACAAGCTGCAGCCCCCTCCGCGTCCCGTGTGACACAGGGCCTGGCCTTAATGCACGCGGTGCAACAACCTGGAAATAGAACCGCTGGGAACGCTAGTTCAACAGTGACGTCACCAAAGCCGTAACATTCACGACCGGTGTGTGTGTGTTCAGTGCTTACTTTAAAATGTTACATAGAGGAAGGCAACAGGAGCCCGCGTGGTGGCGCCGCGGGTTCAGCCCCGCGCCGGGACCGCCGCACCCCATATGGGAATCCTATGTGCGCGCAGTCGGGGCTCTGCGGGGAGTGACCCCGCGGACCGGGGATCTCGCTCTCCGACCTGCGTCTCCTGACACGGAAGCAAATACTATTTTCACGAGAAACGATTTTTCTGTACGGCCCCCACTATTCAGCTGTTGATCCCATGGAGTTTCCGAAATGGCGCGCCCAAACCCGGACGGGAACGAAGAGCGGCACGAGGGGGGCGTTCCCGCCGTCAGCCCCGCCCCACGCTTTCCCGCACGCCCCGCCCCCTCGGCGCCGAGTGCCTCTCGCCACACTCAACATGGCGGCGCCGCCGGCCCGCTCTGGGGCTTAGCGCACACCGCTAGCGGCGTGTTCCACTCCAGTCATGGCGGCCCCCAGGCAGGCAGTGGGCAGCGGGGCTCTGGAGAGCTGCGGTCTGGACCTGATTTTGGAGGCGCTGAAGCTGCTGCTGAGCCCGGGAGGTGAGAGGACGCAGCTCGGCGCCGGGCTGGCCTGGGACTGTCAGGGGCGCCAGTCGTCCAGGCCCTCCCCGGGACCCTCCCCCTCGCCGCCGGTCGGGCGTTGGGCATCGTCCGCCCAGCCTCGTTTTACCCCAGAGAAAACCGGGGCTGCAGGCGGGCCTGGGATCGGCTAAATGCCGACGGAGGCCGGCGTCTCTCGAGCGCTTACCTTCTTAGGCTCCTGGATCCGTGGTTTGGTTCCGGGTTGGAACCCGCTTGGCGCGGGATGAGGCGCCCGCAGTGTGGACTGTAAGCTCCCAGCCGCGCGAGGGCGCAGGGTCTCCGGCGGACCCGAGGAGGGAGCAGAGCGGCGCGGGGATGTGCGAGCTGGGTGTGGGCAGTGACCCGGGACTCGCAGGCGCTTCTCGCCTTCCCGGTGGGAGTCTGCAGGGAGAAGCTGGAGCTGGCGCTCTCCCCGGACCGCTGCGTGCTGGAGACTCGGGACCAAGCGGGAGGTCAGGGCCAGAGCTCGGGCTGGAAGCGCAGCCTCTCAGAATTAGGCAGGTTAGGGTCGAGCTAGAGCCCTTGATGTGAGCCGGGACTCGGGGACCCTGCCTGTGAGTGCAGTGTGTACTGGGGGAGGGGATTGTAGGCTTAGCAAGGTGAGGGCACGTGGTGCTATCCCCGGTCTCTGATGTTGACCCCAAACTGCAGAACCTCCTGCCAACTTACACAGTAGCCGTGAGGAGTGAAAAGGAGTTAACAGAACGAGTGCCTACTAAGTGTCAGTTCGCATAGTGTGCTGTTTATGTACCTGTCACTCCTCACAGCTCCCCATGCGATGGGGGTTACTGTATTCCATTTTTACAGTTGCAGGAACCAAGGAAATTGACCAATGAGGCCAGTGTTAAGTGGCAGAGGTAGGATTTGAATTCAGGTTCCCTCCTACTGAAAGTCCGGTAGCTGTTCTCCAAGGCTGTGCCCAAGACCCATACTGCGGACACAGCTTTAACTTGCTAACCGGGAGGTCACTGGCCGTGCAGCGGCAGCCGTGCACGGTGTGACGCAGGACCGGGCTCCCTGAACGGACAGCCTGGATGGGATGGATCGTCTGTCACAAGCGCATGTCCGCAAAAAGCTCCTGGAAGTTGAACGTTGTGAAAAGACCACACATGGATTTCAAACGTTTGCACGACATAAACTCCCCTTTTAGTGCCGTCTCTCACAGCCTTTTGGAAGCACCCTTGTACTTCTTTCACAGATGACCCTCTGATCTCCAGGAGTGAGGTGGAGGTGTGTACATGTACTCAGCTGATGAGAATCCAGGCAGACACAGATCTGCTGTCCACTGGTTCATTCCCCAAGCCAGGGCTCCCCGGCCAGGCTGAACCCAGGAGCCAGCAACTCAGTCTGGGTCTCCTGTCTTGGCGGCAAGGGCTCAAGTACTTGAGCCATCAACTGCTGCCTCCAGTAGGAAGCTGGAACCTGGGTCCAGGCCCTGTGGTATGGGATGTGGACATCCCAAGGGGGCATCCTAACTGCACCAAACATCTGTGCCCATAGTAGGTTCTTCATGGCGTGCATCCGTGTTTGCGAAACAAAATAGGAAGAGTAGCACTTTGACATGTTTGCAAATCTTGAATGACAAGCTCATTAGAGGCCATTTGGGCCCAGCAGCTAGCAGGTACCTGTCCCACTTCGCAGTCCCACTTCCTGCCTTGAGCTCCCTGTCCAGCCATAAGGGACACCTGGGGAGTAAAGCAGCAGATGGGAGTTCTGTCTGCTTGTCTGTCTGTCTCTGTGCCTCTCGAGTAAACACATGTTTAGCAATTCTGTTCAAAAGCTACCTGCAGGAGAGAGCTGGGGTTTCCTGTCTGCTTTTCCATTTCATCTGTAATGCCAGTTTTGGTTGAGTCCATAAAGAAATCCTAGATTCACACACACACACATTTGGGAAATGCTTTTCTTACATGCCACACTAACGCTCAGCAAGAGGTGACTTAAAGCCTTGTTGCATTCAGTATGGAAGGGAGCTCACATTAATGAACTTTTAAAAAAAGAGACATTTATTTTAGAGGCAGAGAGAAAGAGAGAGTTCTTCCATCCACTGGTTCACTCCCCAGATGGCCACAACGGCTAGAGCTGTGCCAATCTGAAGCCAGGAGCCAGGAGCTTCTGCCGGGTCTCCCATGCGGGTACAGGAGCCCAAGGACTTGGGGCCTCTTCCACTGCTTTCCCAGGCCATAGCAGAGAGCTGGATCAGAAGAGGAGCAGCCGGGACTCTAACTGGCACCCATATGGGATGCCGGCACTGCAGGCGGCAGCTTTACCTGCTGCACAACTGCACTGGCTCCCGTTAATTAACTTTTGATACCTGGTATGCACATGAGAGAATCAGAGTGTAAAAAACAAGTAATGTGTTAATGTTATTGTGAATTGTCTGACATTGCAGGCCCTCTGAGAGAATTGTGGGGAGCCCCTGGTAACCCCAGCCTCCTTATACCAAACTGGCCTCTGCTTTAAGGGAGTGCTGCCATTTATTTTCAGTTCTGTGTAGTTTGTCTTCATCACCAGTAGAGGGCAGAGAAGACCACTTTGTTTGGCGGGCTCGTGGCTAAACTTGGCTGGTCTTAGATTTTGAATCACTTTTGTTCAGTGTTGAGACTTAGCACATAGGGTCACAGGAGTCACCTGGAGGTTGGATGTGCCGACTAGTGGCAGCAGTCTTCCTTTTTAGATATGTGTCAGCCAAAGGGACAGACTTTAACACTGTTGGGTCAGAATATTTGCCTTTGACAGTCTTTGAGAAGTATTAGAAAATTCTTACATTTCTGAGTCTCATTATCTTTATAAGGATAATTTTCATGAAATGTATCTTTTTAAAAATTGTATTTGCTTATTTATTTGAAAGGCAGAGACCGAGATCTTCCATCTGCTGGTTTACTCCTCTGATCCCTACAAGTGTGGATAGACCAGGTTAGAAACTCAGTCCAGGCCTCCCACGTGGCAGTGACCCAAGCACCTGGGCCATCATCCACAACCTTCCCAGGTGCACTGGTAGGGAGCAGGATTGGAAGAGCAGCAGCCAGAACTTGAACCAATGCTCTGATATGGGCTGCAGGTGTTGCAAGCTATAGCTTAACTCCTTGAGCCACCACGCTGGCCCAAGCAATTTTTTTTTTTTAATATTTATTTATTGGGGCTGGTGCTATGGTACAGGGGGTTAAAGCCCCAGCCTGCAGCGGCAGCATCCCATATGGTCACTGGTTCAAGTCCCGGCTGTTCTTCTTCCAGTCCAGCTCTCTGCAATGGCCTGGGAAAGCAGTAGAGGATGGCCCAAGTTCTTGGACCCCTGTACCCATGTGGGAGACCTAGAAGAAGCTCCTGGCTCCTGGCTTTGGATCAGCTCAGCTCTGGCTGTTGTGGTCATTTGGGGAGTGAATCAGCAGGATAGAGGACATCTTTCTCTCTCTCTGGCTCTACCTCTCTCTGTAACTCTGCCTTTCAAATAAATAATTCTTTAAAAAAAAAAAGATTTATTTATTTATTTGAAAGGCAGAGTTACACAGAGAAAGACTCTTCCATCTGCTGGTTCACTCCCCAAATGGTCACAATGGCCAGGGCTAGGCCAGGCCAAACGCAGGAGCCAGCGGCTTGCTTTATTATTATTATTATTATTATTTTTAAGATTTATTTATTTATTTGAGAGAGAGTTACACAGAGAGAGGGAGAGACAGAAAGGTCTTACATCAACTGGTTCACTTTCCAAATGACTGCATTGGCCAGAGCTGAGCTGATCTGAAGCCAGAAGCCAGGAAATTCTTCCAGGTCTCCCATCTGGGTGCAGGGGCCCAAGCACTTGGGCCACCTTCCACTGCTTTCCCAGGCCATAGCAGAGAGCTGGATTGGAAGAGGAGCAGCTGGGACATGAACCGGCACCCATATGGGATGCTTGTGTCATAGGTGGGGGCTTAACCTACTACACCACAGCGCCAGCCCGGACCAGAAGCTTTTTCAGGGTCTCCCATGTGGGTGCAGGGACTCAAGCACTTGGGCCGTCCTCTGCTACTTTTCAAGGCCATTAGTAGGGAGCTAAATTGGAAGTGGAGCAGCTGGGACTTAAACCAGTGCCCACATGGGATGCTGGCTACAGGTGGTGGATTCACTTGCTGTGCTACAGCCCCGGCCTCAGCAATGTGTGTTTAAGGTCCTTCCATGGCCGGTGCCGCGGCTCACTAGGCTAATCTTCCACCTAGCGGCACCGGCACACCGGGTTCTAGTCCTGGTTGGGGCGCCGGATTCTGTCCCGGTTGCCCCTCTTCCAGGCCAGCTCTCTGCTGTGGCCTGGGAAGGCAGTGGAGGATGGCCCAGGTGCTTGGGCCCTGCACCACATGGGAGACCAGGAGAAGCACCTGGCTCCTGCCTGCGGATCAGTGCGGTGCGCCGGCTGAATCACGCCAGCCGCGGCGGCCATTAGAGGGTGAACCAATGGCAAAAGGAAGACCTTTCTCTCTGTCTGTCTCTCTCACTATCCACTCTGCCTGTCCAAAAAAAAAAAAAAAAGAAAAAGAAAAAGAAAAAAAAAAAAAGGTCCTTCCATGTTGTCATGGCTTGGTAGCTGATTCCTTTTTATCTCTGAATAGTACATCATTGCGTAGATATTCTACTGTTTGTTTATCCATTCACCTTTTCTGTTTTAAAAACATCTCGGGGCTGGCACTGTGGCGTAGTGGGTAAAGCCGCCTGCAGTACCAGCATCCCATATGGGTGCCAGTTTGAGAACCGGCTGCTCCACTTCTGATCCAGCTCTCTGCTGTGGCCTGGGAAAGCAGTGAAAGATGGTCCAAGTCCTTGGGCCCCTGCACCCACGTGGGAGACCCAGAGGAAGCTCCAGGCTCTGTCTTCAGATCGGGCGCAGCTCCGGCCATTGCGGCCATCTGGGGAGTGAACCAGCAGATGGAAGACCTCTCTCTCTGTCTCTACCTCTGCCTCTCTATAACTCTCTGCCTTTCAAATAAATA